ATTTATTTTAGCATGAAGAGGGAGAAACAGGGGTTTATTAAATAATATGAATGAATTAATTTTGTAAGTGTACTGACTTACTTTTATATGCTTCTACCTTATTAAAAACACAAATCTAAAATAATGCTTCTAATTATGGAAGCCAGAATTTGGGGTAGAAGAGGGCAGAGTTTGAATTAAAAAGGTCAGGTAAAACAATCACGGGTGAGAAAAATCCGCATGTCTTCATGGTCCCCAGACCCTCCCCTAAATTTACATGTCATCTGCCTGTCCCTTACCTGATCCTTAAGATGCCTTGCATGGCTCTAAAGCTCTGGCTATACCATCTGAACACACCAATCTCTTCTAAGTCTAAGGGTTTGTGGAAGCATTTCTTTCTACATGTGGAATCATGGCTACAACTGGGTCAGAAAGGAAGAGGGTAATGGTAGCCCTCATTCAAAGAAATATTTTACTTCTCAAGATGCTCCCCTCTAAAATTTAAATATCAGTTTTGCTATTATAAGTTATATTTCAGGGTTTTCCCTTTAGCACTCCAAAAGGACAGCTTAGAAGCATACACTTAATGCAAACCTAGTGAAACCAATGAACTAGTTGAAAACTAGTGGCTGTGTAGCAATGACTGAATCATGGCGACTCCATGTGTCAGAATAAAACTATACTGTGTAGGGTTTTCAATAGTTGATTTTTGTGTATTGATCATTAGGCTTTCTCCCAAGATGCTGCTGGGTGGACTAAAGCCCCCAATCTTTTGATGGGCAGCTTTGATTACGTATTAATCATTTACACCATCCAGAGGTTCTCATGAATTAGGTCTTAACATTTCTCTACAAATTGTGCCAGGTGTCGAGCTAGCCTGCCACATAGAGTTCTGGGATCTCAGGCTGGTTTCTTAATCTCTCTGTACCTCAGTCTTCTTTGGGTAAAATAATGTATTTAATAGGGTTGTTTTGAAGATTAAATGAATGCTTGCATATAGTAACTGAGGTAGTTAGTTTATTGTGCTAACCTGGCCGATAAACACCTGTGGAGTTAATTGAAAGGGATAAATGGCTCAGTGAGCCTCGCCTTTCTAGTTCTCAGGTCTCTTGCTTTATGATGGTCGGACCAGGGTGCAGATGCCTTAGCAGTTCCCTGCTTCAGCTTGCAAGGCTGACTTCCTGCAAGAAGTGCTGAGATGTTTGCACATTCACTGACTCAGTTTTCCTCCTGCAGTCGGCATCATTGCATCTGTTTTGTGAGATGGAGAAGGACTTTGTGGATTGGTGTCGGACATATGGGTTAATGTTGGACTTGTGGGCTTGGGCAGCACTGGGTTAGGATGTTTTCTTGATGCGCACTTAACCTTTATATAAAACTCTCTCTCTTATACATGAGTTTCTGTGGATTTGTTTCTCTAAAGTACCTAGCCTAATACAGTAACCTTCTGTTTTAGTTATCGAGTGCTACTATAACAGAAATACCACAAGTATTTATTGGTTCTGGCAAACTTTAGTTTATTCTCTCACAGTTGAGAAGTCCTAATTAAGAGCACTGGACCTAGGGAAGGCTTTCTGTCAGCGCTAGGAAAGACCCGCGTCTTCTTCCACAATTTGTGGGCCCAACTTTCCTTGGGGAGTTCCATGTGCCCTGGCATTAATGATCCCCAGGGGCTCAGAAGACATGCCTGGTTCTTCTTTCTTGGAAGTCCCTTCTCTGTTCACTAGGGTAATCTCTTTTACATCTTAAATAGCATTAACTTAAGATAAAGCCCAATCCTATAGATTGCATCTGACCTCATTAACATAACAGCTTCTAATCTATTACCAGAATGCCATTAGGTGAGATCAAACTGGTTCCAACTCATAGCAACTTGACCCTTTGTGCTGTCGAACAAAACACTTCTCAGTCCTGCATCATCCTCACAATTGTTATGTTTGAGTCCTGTGTCAATCCACACAATTGAGCGTGACCCTCCACTGCACCAAACATGATGTCTCTCCTGATAAGAAGGCAAAAGTACATTGGACAAAGTCTCATCACCCTCGTTTCTAAGAAGCATTCGGGCTGTCCTTTTTTCCAACAAAGATTTGTTTGTTCTTCTGGCAGTCCATGGCACTTTCAATATTCTTCAGCAAACCATAATTCAAATGCATAAATTCTTCTCTAGTGTTCCTTTTTCATTGTCCAGTTTTCAGATGCAAAAAGGTGATTGAAAAATACTTGGGTCAGGTACACCTCAGTCCTTAAAGTGACATCTTTGATCAGTAACACTTTAAGGAGGTTGTATTAGGCTGGGTTGACTAGAGAAACAAATTCAAGGATGCTCATATATGTGTAAAGGAGAGCTTTATATAAAGAGCAATTATATATTGAGAAAACATCCCAGCTCAGTCCAGATCAAGTCCATAGTCTGATATTAGCCCATATGTCTGATACTAGTCCATAAATTTCTCTTTAGACACACGCAACACATGTAATGATGACAAATGCAGTAAGATCACAGGCCGGTGGTTAGAAAGTCCTGTGGATCCAATGGCAGTGGATGCATCTCTAGGATGACTCCATGTAGCTTGTCATCAGGAAGGTGAAGCAGAGAGAGAGAGAGAGAGAGAGAGAGAGAGAGAGAGAGGAAGTTCCCAGAATCCTCATGAGAAGGCCACACCCACAAGAAGACTTCATCAAGCTATGACCTGATTGACAGGCTAGACTCCACCCCTTCACTTTTAATAGTCTCAAATTGACACTAGATTATGTAACTACCACAGAGATCTTGTGCAGATTTCCCCAATGTAATGTGTCATTTGATTTCTTGACTTTCACTAAGTAACTGATTGTGGATCTAAGCAAAATGAAATCCTTGCTATTTCAATATCTTTTCCATTTATTATGATGTTGTCTATTGGCCCACCTGTGAGGATTTTTCTTTCCTTTACAATGAGTTGTAATCCATACTGAAGGCTGAAGTGTTTTAATCTTCATTAGTAAGTACCTCAAGTCCTCCTTGCTCTCAGCAGGAAAGTCTCTATTATCTGCATGTTGCAGATTGTTAATGAGTCTTCCTCCAATCCTGAAGCCACACTTTTCTTCATATAGTCATTTCTTGAATGATTTGCTCAGTACACAAATTGAATAAGTATGGTGAAAGGATAAACACAGACATACACCTTTCCTGATTTGAAACCATAAAGCATTCCCTTATTCTGTTCTAATAACTACCTGCCTCATAACCCATGTACAGGTTCAGCATAAACACATGAAGTATTTGGGAATTCATATTCTTTGCAAAGTCATCCATCATTTGCTACTATCAATACAGTTGAATGTCTTTGCATAACCAATAAAACATAAGTAAACATTTTCTGGTGTTTTTGGCCTTTAGCCAAGACCCATCTGTTATCAGCAATGATATCCCTTGCTCCACATTCTCTTCTTTATCCAACTTGAATTTCTAGCAGTTCCCTGCCAATGTACTACTTATAATAATTTTTTAATAATTGTCAGCAAAGTTCTACCTGCATGTGATAATAATATTGTTTGATAATTTCTACATTCTGTTGGGTCACCTTTCTTTGAAATGAGCACAAACATGGATCCTTCTAATTGGCTGGCCAGTAAGAGAGCATAAATATGGTTCTTTCCCAGTTGGCTAGCCAGGTAGTTGTCTTCCAAATTTCTTAGCATAGACTTGTGAGTACTTTCAGGTTTTTGTCTGTTTGTTGAAACATTTTAATTGGTATTGTCATTTCTTTGAGCCTGGTGTTTTTATAATGCCTTCAAGTACAGTTTGGATTTCAGCCTTTGATTCCACACCACTGGTTTTTGTCCCCATATGTCCCCTATTGAAATCCCTGAATAGGAGCCAATTCTTTTTAGTACAATGACTCTGTGTATTCCTTCTATCTTCTTTTGATGCTTCCTGCATTCTTCAATATTTTTTCCATAGAATCCCTTAGTGTTGCAACTCAAAAGGGTTAGTATTTACACATAGGACAATTATTACATCACAACACAAAATGGAGGATCATTATGTAACACTGAGAATCATGGCCTGGTGAAGTTGACATATATTTTGTGTGTGTGTGTGTGTGTGTGTGTGCGCGCGCAGGGAGGGTTGGGGATGGGACCAAGTTAATCGCTAATAATTTGCAATAAGGATTGACTGATATTCCTATGATGATGATGATGATGATGAAGTGATGATTTATGAAGTGCTATAATAAAGATCAAATAATATACTGTATGTAGAACCCCTCCACAGTGCCAGATGTTTAACAGATGATTATTGTTCTATGAATGACTAATTAGAGTAATAACAAAAATCATTCATCGATTTTTGAATTTTGCAAGTTTTACATATGGTATCATCTCTGTTCTTTACTAAGGCTCTGATAGAAAGGTTTAGAGCATTGAAATTTGGAGGGACCAAACCTCAGTTCTTACTTCTCTGCCACATTTCTGCCATCAATTGACAGGGTTTAGAGTTTCCTTATATTAAGCCACACTAATGGAACCATCTTAACTTTAGAACTTTCTTCTAGCCTTTCCCACAGCAGCTAAACCATGGACTATTCTTGGCTTGCCTCCTATATCATTTTTATGATCTCTGGTTTGTCTGCTGGCTCCTCATATCTACGCGGGACCAGCTCTACGTTGGGCCAATTGTCCTGTGAATCCCACTGGCCAGGCTAGGCCTCTGTCCTGTGTTGAGAGAGAAAGTTTGAACTCTCTAGGTCAGTGGTTCTCAACCTGTGGGTTGCAACCACTTTAGGGGTCAAACGACCCTTTCACAGGGGTCACCTAATTCATAACAGTAGCAAAATGACAGTTATGAAATAGCAACGAAAATAATTTATGGTTGGAGGGTCACCACCACATGAGGAACTATATTAAAGAGTCACAGCATTAGAAGGTTGAGAGCCACTCTTCTAGGTTGTAATAAGCCAGATATAAGACAGGGCAACTTTTAGCATTCAAAGCAAAGCTTTACTTTGGGCACTTAACTCCTAAATCGGGCTTACCTTTTTCCTTCTGGGATGTACTCCAACAGCATTCGAAGGAAATCCTAGAATAACAAAAAATCAAACCATTAAAGATGTCCTTCAATCATAACTTGTCAGAACCATGCCCAAGACAGAGCATTCCTGGTCATTGACAACTCACCTGCTAGGGAAACTGGCTTCAAACTGAATTATTAGACTATATTCCCAATTTATTAATTGACCAGAGTTTCAATCGAATCAGTTAAAGAAATTTGTTTTGTAAAAACCACAAGCAAATTGAAAAATGAAATGTTTGTTGTTTTATGCTTAACTATTTTCAAAAGGCTTACCACAGTCTAAAGCACCATGGTCTCTTCAGGAGCTTCACCAGATAAACTGTTGCATATTTGGCAATCTGAATGCCTAGGAGCCAGTAGAGACTAACTAGTAACTTTCTTGCCTTGCTCTATGGAAAGGCAAAATTCAAGATGGTTCACATCCCAAATGTAGGAGCAAAGATGTCCATACTTCCCTAAGTGTTTCACAAATCCCTACTTCTACCTGCAGCCTCTATAGCACCTCAAGTGCTGGACCTCAAACGTTCTACTGTCATGGAGTTGAGTACAGCTCATAGCGACCCGACAGAACAGAACAGAAACATCCCTTTGGATCCCCAAGATTATAAATCTTTATGCAAGCAGATCTTGTCTTTCTTCTCCTCCCCTTAGATATCAGCTAATTAAAATAATAGGTATTCTTCCAAATAAAGGGATGATATACACACACATACCCACACACACATTTTGCCTTTATCTTGTAAATTTTCAAGCACACTGAAAAATAGGCAAAATAATATAATTAAATGTCATGCACCCATTTAATGCAAAGCAAATTCTAAATGGTGCATATTTTCATTCATAAATATTTCAGTAAATACTTCTTTTAAAAAAGAGAAACTGATGAGGGCAACATATGTAAAATGTGCGTGACACAATGGATGCATGTATGGACTGTGATAAGAGCTGGAAGGGCCCCCAAGAATATGATTTTTAAAATAAATAAATGACGTAGGAATAAAAGGGGAAGTCCTCATCATAATAAAAGGCATTTATACAAAACAAAAAAAACCCAAACGAAACCTCTTTTAAATGATAATGACAAGCCTATAAGAGGAAAAATATTTATAGATGCAAGATCCAAAGGCAGATTGACTCAGTGTGCAGCTTGAGGATTGTGACTCACTCCATCCCATCTAACTCTAGAACCTTGATTTGGTTTTAACTAGGGCTGTCACATAAAATATAGGACACTTAGTTAAATTGGGGACATACCACACTAAAAACTGATCTGTTGTTGATTTAAAATTTAAATTTACTTAAGTGTTAAGCATTTTTATTTGCTAAATCTAATAATTTTCATATCAATCTTCTACTACCTGAAAGTCTGATAAGATTCATTTTGGATAAACCAAACCACAAGAAACCCACCCCACTGCCATCCAGTCAGTTCCAAGTCATGGCAAGCCCATGGAGGGTTCCCAAGACCATACATCTTGATAGGAGCAGACAGCGCATCTTTCTCCCTATGAGTGATTGGACTGCTGACCTTGCTGGCCCCATACCTAACGCTGCACAGCACCAGCAGAGCTCCTTGTGGATAAATACAGGACATGAAATAACCAAGAACACTTGGCTTTCCTTGACCCTTGAATAAGCTCTACACTTAAGAGGGTTTCCTTTTAAATGGATCGAAAACGATTACTTCAAATGATCCGTTTAGAAAAGGCACACATGTAAACCCAGATGACCAAACATAACAACTTTAAATTAGAGTCTTCTAGCCGGCCCCTCCCCACCCACTAACCGCCCACCAAAAGAAGGCAGTCTGCACATACAACATCAGCACAGGCTCTGCTGGGGCAGATTGGACTCTGACCGGGAGATGAAGAGCAACATCGGTCTTCGTACTACACAACCGATGACACTGCACCGACATGGAAGCCTGCAAGTCATTTGTATGACCAGGTGTTCTTTACCTATCACGACAATAGAGTACGACCATCCCTGTGCTAGTGAAGCCAACCATTCCATTGCTGGGTGTTTTTGGAGTGCTCTGGGCCATTTCTTCCGGAGGCCCAGTCTCCCTATTAAGAGCATTAATGAAAGACTTTTTTTTTTGCAACCTGTTTTCCTTTGCAGACTTTATCTATTATTGCTTTGACCAAAATGAACAATTCAAAGAACAGCAAAAACTAATATTAAAAAAGATGAATCTCCAAGGCCAAATGGAGGGAGACAAGTCCAAATGGATCTGTGCCTCTCACCTGAAAGCATTTCTTGCAACTTCAATAGCTGCAGAAAAGCAACCAATTCTAACGGAAGCAGCACAGCTATCCGTCTGAGAAGATTTTGTTTTCCTTGAGGTTTATATACATTTTTATTTTTATACTTTAACAATTGTTTTGCAAAACAAAGAAAATTGGTGATCTACCACAATCTCATATATCAACAGATGGTTTTGTAAATATTTCATTGGGCTAATAGCATTATTCTTGTTTCTTAAAAATCTGAGTACTGTAATTATAACTTTTTATTAATTTCACTTCATTAATCCATATAACCCCTATCAACTTATCTCATATTTGCTTAGTAATTCAAGCTCAATTACATGGGGAAGAATTACATTAGCTCAGTGGCATGGGGGAGAATTTAATTGTAAAACAGCAGGACAATCTAAGCTAACCTTAATTCTGCCCTTTTGCAATTTCCAAATACAACTGGATTTTTCTTCAAGAGCTACAGAGCACAACATTCTATTATCCCGTTTTAGAAACATGGCTGTCCGGCCTTTTAGCAGGTGCATCCTGCCTCAGGCAACATAACAGTTGATTAGAGGTAACCAACCAAAACTAGGGTGAGAGCTCTGGGGGCCTGTATTGTTGTTGTTAGGTGCCATTAAGTTGGCTACGATGCATAGTGACCCAGTGCACAACAGAACAAAACACTGCATGGTCCTGCCATCCGAACAATTGCTCCTATGCCTGCGCCCATTGATACAGCGACTGTGTCAATCAATCTCATCGAGGGCTTTCTTCTTTTCTCGCCACCCCTCCACTTTACCAAACATGATGGATTTCTCTAGGGACTGGTGTCTCCTGACAATATGTCAAAGTACATAAGGCAAAGTCTTACTATCCTGGCCCCTAGGGAGCACTCTGGCCTTACTTTGTCCAGCACAGATCTGTTTGCACTTTCAGCAGTCTATGGTACTTCAATAGTTTTCTCCAACACCCAAATTTAAATGCATCTAGTCTTCTACAGTCTTCCTTATTCAATGTCCAACCTTCACAGGCACATGATGCAATGGAGAATACCATGGCTTGAGTCAGGCACACCTTACTCCTCAGAGAAACATTCTTGCTCTTCAATACTCTAAAGAGGTCTTGTGCCCCAGAGTTACCTAATGTAATACGTCTTTTGATCTCTTGACTGCTGCTTTCATGAACATTGCTTGTGGATCCAATAAGACAAAATCCTTTATACAATCCAGCCTCATTCTATGATGCTCACCTTCCCGACACAACTGCTGAAGACAAAACGGGTGAATAAGCAAATGTGGTGAAGAAAGCTGATGGTGCCCGGCTATCAAAAGATATAGCATCTGGGGTCTTAAAAGCTTGAAGGTAAACAAGCGGCCATCTAGCTCAGAAGCAACAAAGCCCACATGGAACAACACATCAGCCTGTGTGATCACGAGGTGCGGAAGGGATCACTTATCTGGCATCAAAGAACAAAAAATCATATCATTGCGTGCTCACCTCCCCAATACGATCGCTGAAGACAAATGGGTGCATAAGCAAATGTGGCGAAGAAAGCTGATGGTGCCCGGCTATCAAAAGATATAGCATCTGGGGTCTTAAAAGCTTGAAGGTAAACAAGCGGCCATCTAGCTCAGAAGCAACAAAGCCCACGTGGAAGAAGCACACCAGCCTGTGTGATCATGAGGTGTCGAAGGGATCAGGCATAAGGCATCATAAATCTTACCATAGTGAATGATGAGGGGAGTGTGGAGTGGAGACCCAAAGCCCATTTGTAGGCCACTGGAGATCCCCTTGCAGAGGGGTCTCAAGGAGTAGACGAGCCAGTCAGGGTGCGATGTAGCAACGATGAAAAATACAACTTTCCTCTAGTTCCTAAATGCTCCCCCCTCCCCACTATCATGACACGAATTCTACCTTGCAAGTCTGGCTAGACCAGAGGATGTACACTGACTGGTACAGATAGGAACTGGGAACCCAGGGCAGATGATCCCTTCAGGACCAGTGGTGTGAGTAGCAATACTGGGAGGGTAGAGGGAGAGTGGGTTGGAAAGAGGGAACCAATTTCAAGGATCCCTGGGGGATGGACAACAGAAAAATGGGTGAAGGGAGACATCGGACAGGGCAAGATATGACAAAATAATAATTTATAAATTATCAAGGGCTCATGAGGGAGCGGGGAGGAAGGGGAAAAAATGAGGACCTGATGCCGGGTCCTTAAGTGGAGAGCAAATGTTTTGAGAATGATGAGGGCAATGAATGTACAAATGTGCTTTACACAATTGATGTATGTATGGATTGTGATAAGAGTTGTATAAGCCCCTAATAAAACGATTAAAAAAAATAACCCAGCCTCTCTGATTTGCTTAGCATATAGATTGAATAAGTATGGTGAGAGGTTACAACCCTGATGCACACTTTTATTGCCTCTTGCACACTTCCAAATGAGCACAATGAAGCATTCCACAATTCCCATTCTTCTAAGAGTTATCTCAGAATTATGGTTTATTATAGTTCACACAGTCAAATGCCTTTGTAAAGTCAATGAAACACAAGTAACCATCTTTCTGGTATTCTCTGCACTGAGCTAAGACCCATCTAACATCAGCAATGATATCCCTGTTACACACCTTCTTCTGAATCAGCTTGGAAGGCTGGCAGTTCCCTGTCAATGCACTGCTGCAACCCTCGTTGGAGGATCTTCACTATCATCTTACTTGCAAGTGATATCAATGATATTGTTCTATAGTTTGAGCATTCTATTTG